GATCTCTAGAACTTGTGAGCATGTCACCTCACAGAAGGCACTCTGTGAATGTATGGGGCTTGTGATCCCAGGCAGACAATTCTGTGCTATCTCGGTGGGTCCAAGGTAGTCAAAAGGGTCCTGATCAGGGGGAGGGCAGGGTAGGAAGAAGAGAAGAAATCTGATCATGAAAGCAGAGGTCACAGTGCCTGGCTGTGAGAAGATGTCAGCCTGCAATGCTGGCTCTGTAGGTGCAGGTGAGAACCATCAGTCAAGGATGTGGGTGGTTTTTGGACACTGGAAAAGCCAAGGAAGGGCTCTTTCCCAGAGGAATGGAGCTCTGCCAACACTTTGGTTTTAGTACAGGAAGCCCATTTTAGACTTCCAGCCACTAAGCTTCTAGTTATTTGTGACAGTGGCAATAGAAAACTCCATACAGGTACTGAACACATGGAGGCTGCTCAGTCAGTGCCTGCTCAATAACAAATTAAAGCCAACAAATAAAATGTTAGTCTCTAAAATAAAATGTAATTCATAAGAAGAGCAAAGTGATGACAACCATGAGCCAATGATGCTGTGTTATCTTAAGTCATTCTTTTCTTTAAGTAACTAATTGTGACTCAATGACGCTCATGACAGTATTTCCTTTGCTGACATGTCTTACATCCAACCTACTTAGGCAGTCTTATTAAAGAAATATAAATTTCCTCCTCATAAAAGTCTAAGGAAAAAACAGAAATAAAAATGAAGAAAACCAACTTATTTAACACAAACTGGCTGAGCTCAACAAAGGTGCCCCAAATCCCATTCTAAGCTCTCATCTGTGTCCTCCTGCCAGGCTGGCAATGGGTTTGCAGGATTCCCACTTCTGCTGAACCACTTGGAAATGTTTTTAACATTGATACTTGAAAAAAGAGAAAAGTGACAGGCACTCATTGATGACAAATTTCTGGGTCCAATGGAGAACTTTTTTAGCCTTTTAAAAAATAATTCTATAATATTTTTGAATTAGAGTACATTAAATACAAGGGGGTTTCACTGTTGTGGTTCTATACATGCACACAGTGTATCCCCCACATTTACTCCTTCCCCTTTTTGTTTTCATTATACTATCTTCATGTGTATATATGTTGCATACTTTGATCCTCATCAACCCTCCTTTCCTTTCCCCTCCTCCCTCCCAGTGACCCCTTCCATCAGACATGTTCACATTCATGTTCCATTACCTCCTCATCTTAGGTCTAGATTCTATAAATAAGCAAGAACATGTGATATTTAGCTTTTTGAGCTTGGCTTATCACCTCAACATGATGACCTTCAGTTCTATCCATTTTCTTGCAAGTGACACATTTCATTTTTCTTTGTGTGTGTGTGTGTGTGTATGTGTGCAAGAGTGTGTGCATGTATCATAATTTCTCTCTTCATCCATAAGTCGTTGGGTATCTTGGCTGATTCCACAGTTTAGCTATTGTGAACAGAGTGCAATAAGCATGGATATGCAGGTATTTCTCTGTATACTGACTTACACTCCTTTGCATACATGTCCAAGAGTGATATGGTAAGGTCCTAAGGTAAGTCTATTTTAATTTTTTGAGGAACCTCCATACTGACTTCCATAGTGGTTGCACTAGCTCACAATCCTACCAACAGTGCATGAGTGTTCCTTTTTTCATCCATCCTCAGCAGTATTTGTTTTCTTGATGACTGCCAATCTAACTAGGGTGAGATGGAACCTTAGTATAGATTTTATTTGAATTTCCTTTGGACATCAGGTATATATTAGTCATTTGTATTTTTTCTTCTGAGCGCTGTCAGTTCAATTTGTTTGGCCATTTATTAATTAGATTATTTGTATGGGCCAAATCTTTCCCACATCTTTTTAAAAAGAAGAAAAGAAACTATTTTGTCCAGCTCTTTGTTTCCAAACTGTCAGCCTACCCATAGGCCTGCTCTTATTTCCAGCCTGGAAAGTGAAAATTTGAATATTGAGAATTTATCACTTTTAATTATCACTATAGTTTCAATCCTGAATGTCCCAAAGAGACTCATATGTTGAAAGCTAATAGGGTAACACTAGTGCCAAGTAGTGGAACATCTACAAAGTGGTGCCTAGTGGAAAGAAGATAGGTGTTTGGGGGTGTGTGATTAAAGAAGATAGTGGGGCCCTCACCCCACCCTGTGCCCCCTCCGGTCTCTCTTTGCCTCCCAGCTGCAATGAGGTGTGCAGCCCTACTCTACCTCGCCCTTCCCTCCATGATGTTCTGCATACCTCAGGCCTAGGCTGATAGGGCCAAAAAACTGGAGGCTACAACCTCTGAAACCATGGGCCAAAGACAATCTTCCCTCCTTAGAGTGGGTATATCTCAAGTATTTCATCAAAGCAATGGGAAACTAACACAATTATCAATGATGAATTTTTAAATTTTGGTCATTTTAATTAACATCAATGAATCACAGAAAAATAAAATTATAAACAGAGCTATAACTATTTGTTTATATGAAAAGGAGTCTTGACATTTTTGAAGATCAAGAACCAACTCATGTACAACCTAAAATACATTTTTGGCCCTAAGATGATGCATATAAAACAGGAAACCTTAAAAAAAAAATCTCAAAATATGCTATCTAACTGTAATTTCAAACATTTGCTCTGCAAATTACATCATATGTTCTTGACTTTTCTGTCCAGTACTGATTTATAGGCTATAATTGGAAAATCAAAACATTAGGCCAATAGTGCACTCTATCTGGACTGAAATATTTATTGGGCATCTACTCTGTGGGATATTTTTGGTTGGAGTAAGAGGAAGTCCCCAACACCACAGTCATGTGCTCCTCCTACGATGGAGAAGGGTAGTAACACTGCTTTCCAGCAGGTTTACTAAGCCTTGCATTTCAGGGGTTCAGCAAACTTGTTAGCAGATATAACTTCCTTACTGAAAAAAATCCTAAGCCAGAGTTTAACTAAAGGAAAAAAAAAGGAAACCAACATATCTAATAAAAACAGCACCCTTTCTATGTAAATGATGGGACAGGCGATTGAGAGAGCGTTCCTTCACCTGGCACAGCCAGAACATTTCAGTCCCTTTGTTGCAGGCATGGTGCCTGATGTCTACTGATCCATCCACTCTCCATCCATTTGGTATCAACAAATACATGAGAGGTGGGTGCTGGCAGACAAGACACTGACGTGGACACATGTCCTCTTGGGGACCATTTCCAAATGCAGTTCCTCACCTCTGTGTTCAATAGTGCCACATTTAACCTTGTGTTTGCGGTGAGAAAGAAAATTCTCAAGTGTTCCCTCCTCTGGACACACTTCACTCATTTACACTGGTTGTGCTGAATGCTTACCTATCTCATCCCTTGTTGAGCTGTCAGTCTAATGCCAGCAGCCTATCTAAGCTGTATCCTAAACCCCACAATCTTGCCTATCACTGCATGCCTATGATGCTCAATAAATCCTGTCCCTGAGTAGCAGCAAATCAATCCTACTTGTAGAAAGAAGATACAAATCACAATGAGAAGCATCTTTCTAGCTCTCAAAAGCATTTGGCATGTATGAAATATCCACAGTCCTCCTGATGCTGTCCCGATTGGACCTTCCCAAGGTACCAGGTCTAGCTCAGGACTCTACATGTCAGGATACAAGTTCAAGGTTACAAAAGAGATTTGTAAGTCATTTCAAGATTGTAACCTAGTAAACACTGAGAAAAGCCAAAAAGCCTGGAGGTTTATGAATCTGTTTTCAACTAGTGAAAGAGCACCAGGGCAGACACTGAAAAACGAAATACTCAGCTGCCTGTTCTTGACTTCTGTCGGACCTTCTGGAGAGAAATCACACTATGGAGGAGGGGTTTTAGGACATGTAATTCAAACACACTTCTAGGTATGATATGTCTTATATGTGGATCCAGAAATTGAAAGAGAAGCCAGAATATTCTAAGAGAAATTGTTGGCTTGAATTTCATGCTTTGCATGGTGCCCTGTGTACACTTAGGGGACATTCACAGAGACAGCACTGGGACATCCACTCCTGACTCATCAAAGGTATGGGGAAACATCTCTTAGGATTCCATATGTAAGGTTTGTTTAACTCTAGTAGCACACAACTCTTCCAGGTCTTTCTTCAAATTTCAGTAAGGTCTTTCCCAACAACCCTTTGTTAAATGGCCCCTGACCCACACTTGTCAGACCCACACCCTCCTCCTCCTTTCCCTTTGTTCCACCCTACTTCTTACCACCGGATCCCCTTTATGGCATTTGGTTTAGTCAAGTTTTATCTTTTTCCCTACCTGACAGTAACCACCTTGATGGCAGGCACTGGTTGCCTCCCTGAACCCCAGAAGCCAGAAGTCTGACTGACAATGGCAGGCACTCCATAAATACTTACTGAATGACACCATAAAAGAACAAACAACCATATATTTTCCTGGTTCTGATGTGTTTACTGTTTTTGTTTTCTGCCTTTAAGGTACTTGTGTAAGTCAGCTCAAATCTTTCATAGAATGGAGCAGGAGACAGCAGACAGAGAGACAGTATAAATACACAGAAAAGATGCCCTGATTATCAAACACGCTGCATTCTAACATGGTGAAGTTTACTGAGGACAGAGGAGGAAATGAGCCAAACAGTGTGACTAGCAATTTACTAAAGGGACCTTTGTTCCAAAACTCATCACTCTCCTCCTATCCTGTGATAGCTACTGTTTTTAAAGGGTGGTTGTAGGGGACATGTCCCTAGCATCTCTGGCCGTACCCATACTTTCCAGTCTTCCACTGGGGCCTCAGGCACCACAGGCTTCTCCTCATCACAGATATGGCCACGTGTGTCCACACATGCGTATTTTTATTCTGGGATTATCTAAATGGAAATGAATGAAGAGTTTCCAGGGTGTTTTTGAATTATAGTATACCTCTTTCCCAAATACAGCCCCGCAGAGAGAATCACTGAAGACAGAAACCCATAAGAGTCAAAAGTGAGACTACACCAATTTCATTCCAAATTCTACTTTTGGCACATTAAAGCCCTGAAAACCAGTGGGGGAGGGAAAGAAGCAGGTGTGTGGCAGCTGGAGAGATAGATATTTTATAGCACAGGGTCCTTACCTGTTTTACCACAGTCACCGTACCGGGTGCCATGGCAACCACTGAGGCAACAGCAGTGGCATCGTGGGTCTCCCCACCCAGCCCAATGATCTGCTGCAGGATGTTCACAGCTGTGGGATCAAGCCGGTCACCTTAGAAAGAAGAAGCAAACAGGACACTGCTAAGGCCACTTTGCCTGGTGAAGCACGTCCAGTGCAAGACCAGTGCATCTTCCCTTGGGTGATCCTTCTTCCAGAGGATGCACAGGTTTCCACAATCACTCATTGTGACAGGAAAAACTATTTGTATGGTACTTTATAGCTTACTAAGCATTTTCTACAGGAATTGCTAAAAGCCCCAAGCAAACTGTGAGGAGATGGGATTGTTGTCACTTGGGTCCAAAAAAAGCATAGACTTGCCTCAGGCCATTGGACCATTTACATCGCAAAACCAGGACTAAAGCCCAGATGTTAGGAAGCTCAACTTGGTGCCACAAGACTGCCCTGCACAGTGGCACTCCTGAAGAGTACCAGCTGACACATTCACCAGCACAGCCAGTTTCTCTTGAGTGCATGATAGGTGGTCAGAGAAAGTGTGCCAAGTAAAACACAGGTCAGCAGCAAAACATCTGAGGATATATCATTTATTCAGCCAGTGGGCTTCCCAACTCCAACCCAATGTTGGGCTTCTATTTTAATCTTGTCAAAAGACTGGGGCCCACATCCTCAGGGTACTAACAGCATACCCTGTCTGCTCTCACCTTCTGTGTGCCCACCCGGAACTCCCTGAACACGCTCTGACCCTGATCATTAATTCACTAACAGGAAATTGCAGGTCAGTCTCCAAGCCGTATAATAGTAGGAAATCTTTATCATGGGCAGCTTTTGGTAGGCCATGTTTCAATGTGAGTCAATCAGTAAAAGACTACAAAAGAGGAACTCAACATGTTCCATAAAGTGGGTAGGAAACAGCATATGACTGAGATAATGACTTGTATATATTCACAAAGGGGCCATCAAATGCCCCCTTATCCCACAAACATGCCAACCCACACCCTTGGAGAAGAGGACACAGATGTGCCTTGGAGCCAACCACTCCAAACGTTCAGAGTAAAACATTCACCTGGAAAACTTACTGAGGACAGGTTTCCATTCTTCATCCACATATCCCTCAGTGCCCATTTATTCAGCCCTATAGTCAGCCAGGAACTATGGTTCCTGACAGGAATACAGACAAAGACATAACAGGATGCCCCTCCTCTCTGTCCTGGGTTCACAGGCACCTGAGCGCCATTTGTAAGCAAATCGTTATAGTACATGGCAGGTCCCATCTTGGGAGGGCATTTAGGGGAACAGTGTAGAAAAGTCATGTGGGATCTCAGGAGATGATATGCAATGTGAATGCTGAAGATGGGAACAAGCTGTGCAGAGAAAATTTGGTGTGTCAGGGGGAAGGGACCAGCTCATATCTCAGGGATAACTGGAGCATTTGGGTGAGAGATGTAGCTAGGATGGAGAACTGCAGAATTTGGCCAGAACAGTACAGCCTAGGTGTGAGAAGCAAGAGATGGTGAAGCATGGGCAGCCAAGGGTAGAGCAGGTAGGCCTGGCTTGCTTAACTTTAAGAGAGAGAGGAGAAAGAGGAGAGAGAAAGAGAGGAGAGAGAGAGAGAGAGAGAGAGAGAGAGAGAGAGAGAGAGAGAGAAACTGTGGAGCCACTCTCTCCACAGTTCCCTGTAGCTCAGGAGGCAGCAAAACCTGCTCTCTCCTAAACTAACCTGTGAGTTTTAGTGTAGCTTTCTCAAAACCTGCCATTCCGGGTCTTAATGAGTGGGCAAAACCAGAGTTTTCCTCACTCCTATTTCCTAACACCACTGATTCCATCTAATGCTTTCCTTTCAAACTTGCTTGCTTGACCTCTGTTCCCAAATATACACAGGGCTATGCAAAGTAACAGTAGCTTGAGTTCACAGAGCTTGAGGAAAATCTGTTCAAGTACAATCTGCCACTAGGGTAGCACAGGGTTTTGTTCTTAAAATTGATCTAAAATTTGGAAACCAGGGTGGGGATGTAGCTCAGTGGTAGAGCACTTGCCTAGTATGTGCAAGGCCCTGGGTTTGATCCCCAGCCCTGCAAAATAAAATAATGAAAACCATGACATTTGGGGTAAAAATCCTCACTGAGCCTTTTGGAAAGAACAGAAAATAGGGTGGGACATTAGTGATCCCAGGAACATGGGTGTGGATCAGTAAATAGCCTTGGGGTTATAGGAAGTCTGTGAGGTGAACTACTGGCACACTGGTCTCAGCTACCTATTGCCACTGCTTGGCCCCTCTGGCACCTGGGATAAGTCCCCTGGAGATGACCTGATGCATGGAATGGGACAGTGCCTGGATGAAGATTCAGGAGCATGAGGTTACAGGACCAGCTTCCACACTCTTGCCTACCATTTTTAATGGAAAGCCATCTACACACACCTCTGAAGCAAGAATAATAAGATCTACCCCTCTCAAAATGCTGCTCTGGGAACTAAGTGTGAGCTGACGTGAGGAAATCACACAACCCTGCCCAAGGGCCCCACCCTTGCTACAGCTCCACTCTGAAACATTTCAGGAGGCAATGATTCTCGTGTCTGAAAACACGGATGCTTCTGTATTCTGAATGTAGGTCGGGGGTTTTGAGGTGGATGAAATGATGAATATCATTCATTCACAAATTCATTCATTCAGCATGTAGAGACCAGCTCTGAGTTGGGGTGGGGGATAGGAATCAAAGGAAGCCAGGTGTGCCCTCACCATTCTCAGAGGTGTATCTCAGGTCTTGAAGTGCTGCCACAGCTGCCTGTGTCCCCTGAACATCTTCTTCAGCCTCAGCAATATGGAGATACTGGGTGGGGGGATCCTCAGATGTCTCTGTTGCTGGCTAAATAAAAACATATTACCTTAGCATCCTTCTAAAAGATCAACTACTATCCAGAAAATCCAGGATAATGTATTAAAATAAAACAAATGCACACAAAGCAACACTTTAGAACATCCTGTTTACCTAGTATCCCTGTGAAATCTGATATATTTCTCCAGGAAAAACCTTGTCTTTCTAAGTACTAAGATTTTTTTAAACCAGTTTTGATGGAAGCTTCTTGCTCCCCATTCTAGGTAGCAGAGTATGCAGTGCAGAATCAGAGATTTACATGCTCACATGTTCTCGGATATGCACTTGTAATGGATCTTCTGTTTCTTCCCTTTGCTACCAGTACTGCCTCGAATCTGACCCTGACCCTGGGGCCTCATGCCATGTGCCTAACAACAGCAATGGTAGAAAGGAGGAGAGGAAAGAGAGAGGATGGGTGATTACATAACATGCAAAGCACTGGTCCTGACACAGAGTACCAGTCAGTGACTCATAGTTATTCGCACCATTCCTATCATTATATGAAGGATATGATAAACAAAACTGACTACAAAATTATATTTTCTCATTATCAGGATTTAGGAGGGCAGGAGGAGTTGTGACATCCTCAGGTAACTTGCATACATCAAGGAGAGGATAGGTGGAATAGAATTTTCACAGAACCAGATATTAATAATGATCTCTTTCTAGAAGGGCATACAACCAAAACTGTAAGGTAAGAGGCATGAATATCTCAAATGAAGAACAAAAAGCAGAACTTCAGACAAAGTTTATAGGAGCCAAAGTTGTGCTCTAGAAGTACTCATCAGTAGCTGACATAGAGGCTCAGAGTAGCATGTGATCATTTATAGCTCATTTAGTTATCTCCATATTAGAAACAAATATCGGGTAAATGAAGAAACTAATGAAAAGAAGAACATTTCCTTTTAAAGGAAATGTTTAATTTCCACTTAAAAAGTATTAGTCAACACTGGACTAAAGCAAATGCCTTAGTCTGCGAAAAGACAGGTTGTACACCAAGTGGCCCCTGTAATTCTGAGGAAGCAATTAATCATCATTTTCAGGAAGGACAGTGCTCTTTGCAAGGAACTCCTGGGAGGCAGGTGACAGCCCAAACTCCTAGAATAGGCAGGCTGCTTGTTTTATGACAGGTGACCACCCCATGCCTTGCTTCCTGGCTGCTCTACTGTCTCACTTACGGAGTCAGGTATATGTCTCTTATTGACTATTTTTGTTGGGGTCATGGTTTGACTTCAGGTGCTGGAATTTGCTAGAAGTGAGGCATTCAGAGGACAAGGACATTACTGCACGTATTTACAAAAATACCCACTGACCAAGACAGATTGGGTTTTACATAATGAATTGTCCAGTGTCTAGCTCATTAGCAAACACCAAACTCTTGCAGCAGGAGCTTGAAATAGGAGATGAATTGCGTGCCAGAGACGGATGGCACTGTGAACCTGAGGACCACATCATCACCACAACTATGGAGGGCTTCGCTGGGGTTGGATACAGAGCCTTGGACTTCACACAGTGCTTCTCTTATTTTGCACAGTGCCTTCTGATTTTACACAGGTCAAGAAGTTTGTAGATGACAGAAACGGGTTCAAAATCTGTCAGTCCATTTTTTTAATTTTGTAAAAAAATCCCAATACACACAAAAGCAGAAATATGGGAAAAATAAACTTCCATGCACCTGTCATCCAAATGAACAATTATCAACTCCTGGCTAGTCATTTTTTGTCTGTGGCCCCACACTCTTCACACCCAGTCTTGAATTATTTTGAAGCAAATTAAAAACTAATCATTTCCTCTATAAATATTTTAGGATGTATCTCTAAAAGATAAAATTATTTCAAAATATAACTACAATACCATTGTCACACTCAAAAAACTTAACAATAAGTCCATAATATCATCAAATACTTAGGCAACGTTTGAATTTCCTCAATGATCTCATTTTTCTAAACAGTCTGATCAAATCCAAGCTAAGTAAGGTTCACATATTAGAAATGATGGATATGTCTCCTAAGACTTTAAAAACCCATCTACTCTTCCTGGCTGCTTCCCCCTTTGCAGATTATTTCTTGAAGAAAGCAGGCATTTACCTGATGGAACTTCCAACCATCAGACTTAAGTATCCTTTTCAGCAAGAATGCTTCATGAGTTACACCTGTGCTTTCTGCAGGAGACACCCTTGTGGGCTTGCCTCTGTTAGCAGTGACTGGGGATTATCTATGACATCATTAAAAGGTTACAAAATGGTGATATTCTAAAAGAAAATCTCCCCTTGTTGAATGTTTGGTTGTGCTCACACTGCGTGATTTTGTTGTTTTATTTTGTAAGGTAGGATGACTGCTTGGTGCTTGGCCTTTGTTAATAGTTTTCAAAATAAAGAGCTGAACCCCTTGCATCCTACAGAGGTAACTGAGTTCTTTTCCAAGTTGCTTTATAAACTTATGAAGGCAAACATATTTTATGGGTTTCACTGTAGATAATAAACACTAACAATGGCACCAGCATAACAGCATCATCCCTACCACCACCAACAGCGTAAGTGAAAACAGTGAAATGTTTTGACTCTTTTTGCACTTAGGTTACATCCCCTTAGGAAGATACAATCAAATTACTATTTAAAGTCTTTTGAAATAGTCCCTCTCTGTGTTGATATGCTATCGACTTGACAGACAGAATCACTTATTTAATTTAGTCTCAATGTTTAGGACTTGCTTTTTTAGTTCAATTTTGTTTTCATTATTATGTAAAATATTTCTATGATATCTGAGTGAAATCCACACAACAGGATGTGTTAAGAGAAAATTAGTACCCCACCTTGTCTTTTCCATCTTGTTCTCCCTTCCCTACACATAAGACCTACCTTTTATATTTTTTTGAGTACTTTACTTTGAAATAATTATAGACTTACAGCAGAGTCCTCTAAATCTTCTCCTAGCCTCTCCTAATGCCAGCATCATATCTGATCACTGGAACAGCACCACATCAAAAATCAAGAACTGATACTGGTGCATGACTATTGACTACACTATAGGTTTCATCTAGACCCCATCAGGTTTTTCATTAGTGTCATCTTTCTGTCCTAGGATTCAAGCATAGATCTGAGGGTGTCTCCCTAGTGACAAGTCTCCAGGTGACAGCTCCCAGACTTCCCTTGTCTTCCATAATTTTGACACTTTTATGGAGAATGATTCAGGTATTTAGCCATTTGTATTACTTGGACATGTCTGATGGTTTCTCACAATTAGACCAAGATTGAGGAATTTTGTGAAGAGCCCTTTTCAGGACATCAGTAAAGTGCTACACAGTGTCAATACATTTTCCTACTGATTATACCAATCTTCATCCCATGGATAAGGTACTGTCTTTGGGCTCTACTGTAAGATAATACTTTTCCCTTTTTAATTAATAAATATTTGGATAGGGATTTTTTGATACAACGAAAACACTCTTTTTCTCCTCAAACTTCTACCTATTAGTTTAAGCATTCACCAATAGAACCCACCTGCTGTGATTGTTCCTATTTTCCCTCATTCCTTCTAGGTTCTCATTACTCTTCTCCTGAGAGGAAGAACATATTCTCTCTCTTTCTCTCTCGCATATATATCACATATATCAGAAAAACTTGTGAAAATTTTACTCTGAGTCATAAAATAATACCATCATTATCAATTTTCTTACTCGAATTGTTCTATCTTTGGTCCTTGGGACCTTTGTCATGTTGCCTAGTTTCCTTTTGACATACATATTCCCTTTTATGTGTCTTTTTCCCCCCATCTGTCTGTCTGGTGCTTATTACTACTTCTAATACTAATGATGCTCCAAGATCATTTTGTATTAAGCCTCAGCCCTGGGATCAACTATTTTTCCAGGGGACTGTAATTCCCTTTATCAGAGAATGATGTTAGAGACCAAGCTCTGGGTATCAGGGTGTTCATTGCTACTGGAGTGTCACTGCTTCCAGGCACAAAAAGCTGGGGATCATGTGCATGTATACTAACTGTCTGCAACACAGACAAGTGGGCCACAAGTACTTCATTCAGATTTTGCTTATACACAGTGAAATATATTGGTGATGAGACCCAAGTCTAAACTTGGGTGTATGTTTCATATATACCTAATATACACAGGCTAAGGATATTTTATGCAATGTTTTTAGCATGCCTGTGTTTTGACTGTGACATTTCAAATACAACTATGTGGACCAATTTGCCACTTGTGGGATCATATGGGTGCTCAAAAAGTTTCAGATTTGGGAGCATTTTAGATTTTTTTTTCAGATTAGAGATGCTCCACCTGCAGGTAACTTAAAAAAAAAAACCTGTAGACAATTTTTTTTTAAAAATTCAAAAACATGAATTCCTAGCGATACCTCTAACTTTAATTTGCTACCCAGGCCTCCATCAGATGATGCCTTATGCTTAGTGTAACTTTCCACAAATGAAAACATGGCTCTGATTATTGACAATGTGCTCACATCTCTATGTAATCATAACACACACAGTAAACAGCTCAAGAGATAATAACTACTGTGAGAAACCCTTCACTGAGCAGATCACGGCACTCATGTACAGCTCTTTGTCTTTGACTTTATGTATCCAGCAAAATGCCATTTTTCACAGTTATGTAAATCAGCTACTTTCTTCCCATTCTCTTCATTCATTCATTCATTCATTCAGCTGTGATGCAGGCAGACTCATGTAGCCCATATGTTTTTTAAAAATGGTTTAAATTTATCCTTTACCTTAAAAAAATACTAACAAAACATACATGCACACTTTTCTTCATCTCACTTTTTTCACTTAACAAAATACCCTGGAGATCACTCGAAAGAACTATCCAGGGATATCCTCTTCCTTGTCACAGCTGTGGGATTCTCCACTGTGGAGCTGTTTCATGATGCAATCATCCCATCTCTTATGGATGGACACTGTGCTCTTTCTAGCCATGTACTGTGATCAACAGAGCACTGCAATGAACACTCTTATACAGATAACTTCACTCATTTTCGCCAGCACTGTTTTGCATAGTTTTCTAACAGTGGAATGGCTCAGTTAATGTATACAGATATGCCTATGTCATTTTGCTAGTCACAACTGTCCCCTTCATTGGGATAGAGATTATCTCCCCACAGCCTCTCCAGAAGAGACGATGTCAAACTTTTGGATTCTTGTCAATCTAGTAAGTGAGAAATTCTCTCAGTCTAGTTTTAATTACGTGTGAGGATGGTCATGTTCTAGACATTCAAGGTATTTGAATTTCTTTTTCCATGAATCTTATTTTCTACCCATTTTTCCCTAATGGATTGTTGATCTTTCTCATCAATATATTCAGAGGCCTTTTATAGAGTAATGATTATTTTCTGGTGATATGAGTGAATATTTTTTATCATTTATCTTTTTGTTTAGAGTTCTTTTCCAAAAGGCACTTTAAATTTTTTCGAGTCAATTATTTTCAATCTTTCCCTTGTTGAATATGACTTAAATTAGGAAAATTCTCCATATATAACCTCTCATTGTATACATGAGAGAGTCACTCGTGATTTCTTCTAGTATTCATAAAATATCACTGTCTTTACATTTAAATTGCTGATCCTTTTGAAATTTATCTAATATAAGTTACATAAAGCAAAGTCAATTTTATCTTTCTCTATGTGGCTATTTAGCTACCCTACTTCATTTGCTCAACAACCCACGTTCCTCCTATCAACATGAGACTAATTTCACATGTCAATGGGTCGTCTCTGATTTTTGTTTCCTATTCCATTAGACTTCTGTTCATTCACAAACACCACACTGCCTTGGTTATAGAAGTTTGTTTTAATATCTGGAAAGGTTCTCCTCTCACTGTGAGTTTTCCAGCTATTCATAATTCTTCCTATAAATCAATTTAAGAAATCAACTTGATCAGTTCCAGCAAAAAAAAAGTCATGTTTATTTTGGTCACATTATGCTGACAAATTATCTTATTAATTACCTTTAGGAGTATTAACATCTTTATGTAACATGTGATGAGTGCCTGTCCATTTGTTCAACTCCAACTTTATGTCTCTTTCAGGAGTGTTTTGTGGTTTTCCATATTTACATTTTAGATTTTTCTTATTAGGTTTATGCCTATGTTTATTTGATATTTGTTTGCTTGTTTCCTATAATAAATATTGTCTTTGTTTCTATACTATCTGACTTAATGTATATGCATGTATCTACTTTTATACACACATATATGTGCATATTTATTAAGGTTGCTAACCTTTTTATTAGCATACATGAATTGTGTAAATGAGGTCTATTGTGATATTTACATTCATGCATATAGATACAGATTTTTTAATTTGCTGCATATTGTTTGAATGAATGCATATTCATTCTTTTGGATTTCCCCAAAATACAAACCTATCACGTGTAAATAGAGATAATTTTTATTTCTTCAATTCCAGTTGTGTCTCTATTTACCCTGTCTTTTCTAGCCACACTGGCTAATGCCCCCTAGAAGAACTCCCTCCAGTATTGCTCAATGATGTAGGACATGGCTTTTGGGTTAAGACACATACATTTTTGTCATTTTAAGGATGTATCGATGTATATCGATGTACACATTCAATTTTGCTAAATGCTTTTTCTGCATCTATGAAGATGGTCATTTCATTTCTCTCCCTAGGTCTATTATTGTGAAGGGCTACATTAACATATTCCCCTACTGAGCCACATTCCTCTGCATTCTGGAATAATCCCCACATTGTCACAATGAATTATTATTTTCACATGTTGTGGATTCTGCTTCAAAGCCCTTACTCCTAACCACTCCTAATCCTGGAATCACTAGGATCTGTGAAGTTCTTATACTAAAAGGGAGTGATTTTGACTGCCAGGGAACAATGAACATTGGCAGTGTCTGAAGATAGTTTTGATTGTCTCCATGTGGGCTAGAGGGAAGGGGTGATGCTGCTAGTATCTAGTGGGAAGAAGCCAAAAATGCAGCTAAATACCTTATAAGGGACAGCACAGCTCTCCATAACAAAGAATATCCAGATCAAAATATCAGAAACCCTGCTTTAGGAAATTGCCAATAGTGCATGGCAGAATACCAGTGTTTGAAAAAAGGGCAGGCTGCTATCTTAGTGATGACTGGTTTCAACTCTTCAGGGGAAAAACAAAGGTGAGAGCAGTAAGCCTTCATGTGGGGAGAGTCAGGTCTGAAATCAGGAAATGGGACTCTTCCCAATTCTGTCAGAGAGGAGGGCAACAACCCCTTGCCTTCCATTTTTCTGTCAGATGTCCATTTTTCTGTCTACCTGAAACTGTATTTGTAAATAGGAAAAGCAAAATTGCCAATGTGGTCAATGCAAACATTCACAGAAGAGTCTAAATTCAACTCAGAATAAGAATTTACGTGTGTGGCCTATATCACACCCAGCTGTGCCCCAAGATAAGATCTGAAATGTTTTAGAAGGTTCCCAACCAGCAAATCCAATGCTCTGTGGGTTTGCAGTCCGTGCCCAGTACTTGGACTTGCTGGTTTGTCATGTGTGCTTAGAAATGTCAAGATCAATACCATATTCTAAAGTTACCTCCCACTTGGGGTCTCCATCAATTTCCACCACCTTCAAGCCATGTTTATTCTTCAGGTGCCTGTTGAACTCCCATTTGGTGCCATACACAAAGCTGCAAACAGGACACTTCAAACCACCTGCAAGCACAGACGGTAAAAAGAAGTGTTCATCACACATAAAAATGACACATCCCTCCTTTTATCCAACTGTCTCAAATCAGAGATGTGCATTCTTTTGTCTCCAGCACTTATATTCAATCCCAGCTTACCCTACTATTGGAACACAATAGCAACAGTGTTAACAGTTTCCAGGGCAGAGATTTTAAAACAATACACTTTTCTCATTTAATGAATGATGTCGTTTTGCCGCGGCCGCGGGCCAGCCCCGCCCGCGCAGACCAGCGCCCAGCCGGCGCAGCAGGCCAGGCCCGCGGCCAGGCCAGCAGCCCAGACCGCCCGCCGCCCGCGGCGGCCCCCCCGCCGCCCCCGACCGCACCGGCGCGGCCGCAGAGACCCACCGCCAGCCGGCGCCGGCCCACCGCGCCCAGCAGAGACGGCCAGGAACCACGCGGGCCCCGCGACCCCAGAGAGTCTAATACCTTCTTGATATTTTATATGCCAGAAAGAAATAAAGTTAAGTAACATAATTCCCTTGGCTGAGTGGGTAAGGGGCTAAAATTCTTTATT